CGACGAGGTCGCTAATTAACTTGGTCGAGTCATCCCGATGGGATTATGATTTGATAGGTGAGTGACTTTCTAGTTTCAGCCTTAAGCTAAATTCATATTGATGTTCACTTGGTTATTCGTGCAGGAATCATGGTGAAGAGTGGTGCAAACGAGTTCAACATTCGTGACCTCCTTGCCAGTCGGGTGCAACAAGTGAAAGCTTCCGGAGTTATGGGTAGTTCATCAGTTGCTCCATCGCCTCGGCCAGAACAAGACAATCGGGCTCCTCCTTCGCCGACCCGCAAGCACAAAAAAGGGAAGAAAGGGAAGGAAGTGGCCGAAGAGAGGCATAAGAGAAAAGCTGCCGAGGAGAGGCCTGAGAAAACCAAAAGGTCGAAAAAAACTGTGTCTTCACCAGGCGGAACGGTAATTTGCGTCCCCCCGGGGTTGATGTCTAGGGATTTTTGGGGTGAAGGTGTGTCTGCCGATTCACTCGTTCGGCCAGAGGGCTTCTCGGAGCAGGGCCAGGAGTTACTGAGTCAGATGGACGCCACGTCCAAGTGGAAATATTATTGCGAATTGCAGTCTCGGTCTCTCGCATTGGTGAACCAACTTGCCATGGGGCCGATAGGTGAATTGGTGCAGATGAGGCAGAGGTTGGAAGAGGCCGACAGAGCGGTGGCCGAGGCCCGTGCTACGACCCAAGGGGCCCTAGCTACGAACCGCCAACTTGCCGCTGAGCTAGACGTTCATAGGCGTAATAATGAAACTCTTCGGCTGGACCTTCAAAAGGCGGAGAACGAGGGGAAGCGTCTAGCCGAAGAGGCACAGGCCGAGCTGGAGAGGGTTAAGGAGTCGGTGAAGGCACATAGCCAAGGACTTTTACCAAGGGTCTTTCATGTCGTTTGCCGAAATGCTTGCGGGAGCTATGCCTGATAGTGATGAACCGGATGATACTCCTGAGGGGGAAGAGGCTCAAGGTGCTTCGGATGACGAAGCCGAGGATGATCAAGAAGGGCCGACCCACGAGCAAGAGGACGAGCCCGAAACTTAGGAGGATGCCCCCACTCACCCTGATGAGTGACTGCCTTTTTGTACTTCTTAGAATATGGATAGTGTAGGGTTTAATAGGCTGATAGAGCCTTTTTTGTATCTTTTGCTTCAAGTAATGAAAGGTGACTTTTTACTTGCATTTCGTAACCATCTGGCGTATTGTTGAATTGTTGAATCCGGAGTTCACGTAGAACCGTAAGTTAAATACCGCCGTCTTAATGAGAACCAATCTAAAGTTGGTCTTTTCCTAAAACCGAACAAGGCCCTTTGAAACGAGTTAAACAAGTTAAATTGTCTTTTTTTTTTTTTGAAAAACTGGGAGAGTTCCCTCGGATTTGATTGAACTGAACCGAGTGGAGTCATTCAGACTTGATTGCTTTTGGACAACAACCGAATGGGTCCTTCGGGATCAATACCTTTTTGAGTCAAGGCCGAACGGAGTCACACAGAATTGTTGCCTGAGTCATAACCGAATGGATTAACCGAATGGGTCCTTAGGGATCTAAACCTTTTTGAGTCAAGGTCGAACGGAGTCACACGGAATTGTTGCCTGAGTCATAACCGAATGAATTGATTCGGAGTTGATGTCTTTGAGTCATGCGGAATTGAAACCTTGAGTCATGATCGAAGCACTTCATTCGGACTTGATTGCTTTTGGACAAGAACCGAATGGAGTCATTCGGAGTTGATGCTTTTTAGGTCAAAACCGAATGGAGTCATTCGGAATTGATGCTTTTCAGGTCAAAACCGAATGGGTCCTTCGGGATCGATGCTTTTTAGGTCAAAACCGAACGACTTCATTCGGAATTGATGCTTGATGCACTAATTGTGTAAAATAATTGTACATTATCAACCAATAAGATCATTGGTATGACCTTGTAATTACTTGTTAAATAAGTCAACAACTGATCACTATAAATGGTGATTTATGATTGGATGAGAATGTAAAATTATTTTACATTATTAGTGTATTTTCTCATTTATTTATGTAAAGTTTAATCTTAAATTTTTAATATATATATATATATATATATATATATATATATATATATATATGTGGGGGGTGACTCAAGTGAGAATAATTCTCAATATAGAAACATGAGAACAACTCTTAGATTAAAATAAATGGCTTAAATTAAAAGATTATAAAAGACATTACTATATCTCGCAACTATATATTGTAATTCTCTCTGTCATTGATGTCATCGTTAACATTATTGCACTTAATTTTTGTTACTATCACTTCCACCTCCACTCCCACCACTTTCAATGACGATAATAATTGTGACAACGACGATAATGGTAATTGTGATATGATAAAGGTGCGATGAAAGTGGAGATAACAGCAGTTACAATAACGGCGATGAAAATATTAATGATATAGAAAATTACAATAGTAACTGAATGTGGTACTTTATTTTTAATCTTTTAATTAATATAATTTATTTTAATCTAATAGTTATTATTAATTTTTCTCATATTCACATATTAACAATTGTGATCATTTGTGTCGCCCCTTTTGTATTTATATTTATATCAAGAATAAGAATTTGAATGAATGGTGATAATTAAAATTAAAGGAATCGAATTCAAATTTCACAATATAAAAAATTCTAAATTAAAAAAATATATATCATTACTAAAATGAAAAATACAATTACCAGCCGGAGGAAGGGTGCCGTTTATTACACATCCGGAAAGAGACAGAACTTTCAAAGAGGTCAATTCCCCAATACTTTTGAAAAACTCATTTTCCAAGTTATAGTTTTCGTTCAATGCTAAGTGGTCTAGGTTACTTAAATCACAAAAATCTGCACAATAGAAAAAAAAACACGGCATGGACATTAATATAACAGAAGTGAAAATAATTTAGCTACTTATAGTAATTTTAAAAGTACTAGTGTACCTCCAGCAATAACTTTTCCTATAATTTCATTCCCGCTCATAGAAAGCACCCTCACAGATGAGAAAGCTCGTAGTGATTCCCTAAATTTGCTCCCATTTATCATATTGTTATCTAAAGAAAGGACATTCAATTTGCTTAGATTTTTTTGAGCCTGAAAAAAAAAAGTTTACACAATAAGGAGATAAGTGTGTTTTGTTGCAAATGTAAATACGGGATATATATCAGCAAAATATCATAATTTTATTGATTAAAACTTCTTTATTTCAATTACTTAAATACCTTGATGGTTAACAAAACTGTTGATTTGGTTATAATATAGATCGAGAATCTCCAAACTGGTTAAAGCCAATAACCCTGTCAGAGATTGGATATCGTCATTCATAGAATAGTACTTTCTCTTCCACACGTAAAATAGAAGTATTGACGAAAGCTCCCTCGTGCATAGATATATACGAACACTCTTTAATGTCAAATACTCCATTTATATATATCAATGATTTCTATCTGTCTCTTCCTATCAAATCATACAAATTTATTATTATATTTATATTTTTCTCATAGGTATTAACCAGGTTATATATATGATATAAATACTAGAAGGATCATTAATCAAACAAACAAAAAAACTAATGAAATATAAAAATTACTTCTATGATATATAGTAATTTAAATATATTCTAAAATAATATAATAAAAAATTTAAAACGTAATCCATAGCAATACTGACCACTTATATCTACTGATCCTTCTAATAGATTGTCATTTAAATAAAGAGATTTAAGACTTCCAAGCCCACTGAGAAATGAAAGAGATTTGTTGGTGAAACTGTTTGAACTCAACCCCAGGACTTCTAAATTGGTTGGCCATGAAAATCCCTCATTCTTCTCTGTTAAAAAAATAGTAAGCTTCCATTTATCAGCAAGAAACATGCATATTCTGATGAAAAATAAGGAACATGCATATTCTGATCATGAAAACATGCATATCTACTTTAATATAATCACAAACCATCGAATAATTTAACTAACCTGAATACCACAAGATACTCTCATTCAACTGGTTCCCAGCTAAGTCCAGGATCTCCAGAGACCTTAGTTTTGTAATATCTAGCAATATATACGTACACTGATTACAATTGCATATGCTTTTGAACCAAAAAGCAATAATGATGAAGATTTCTAATATGGAGTGTGTGGCTTACTAAAAATTGATCTTGGAGTCAGTCGACTATATCCTAAATTTAAAGACTTGAGGGATGAAAGCCCACTAAGAGCAGATCCAATATCACTATTGTTGAAGTTGTTGTTGGACAAGTCAAGGACCTCAAGATTCTTCAACTTGGAGCATAAACCTGCAAGGTATAGGGTGATAATACATATATATTACAGGTATATTTACCTGAAGCTCCAGTAAAATTCACTCCTTAAATAATTAGCTATATTCCTGAAAAGGGAAAATTATCCTACCTTGAATATGAATATCTGAGTTCAATTGACTTGCAGCCAAATACAGTTCCTTCAATGATGTGAATCCCTCAAGGGATGGCAGTATGTCATTAGTCAAAGAGTTGTAACTTATGTCAAGGACCTCCAAATTAAGCAACTTTGATGACAAAATTTCAAAAACTAAACACGCACACATGTATTAATGCAAGGTTGTGAAAGACGCCAACAAATTTTCGAAAAATATTGTACCAAAAAGTAAAGAGGTTTATCACACCAAAAAATCAGAAATAAATATATATCTCACCGTTGAATGTTGCGTGGAACCAGTTATTTGATATATATAGAGACTTAAGAGATGAAAGCCCATTCAAACAAAATAGAAAGCTAGCAGCTTTATTCAGAGAATTGTAGCTCAAGTCAAGAACTTCCAGATTTCCTAACCCTGCAAGGTATGTAGATTAAGTGGAATTAATGATTCAGCTACATAACATACATATTTAAGCCTGGTTGAATACAAAAACTTAGAAGTACTTTTTAGTTTTTCAACCTAATAGAAAATTTCTCAATAACTCTTTTAAATTTGTATGCAAACATATTTTGTGTAGTTAAGTGGAACTTTTTAACTCGGTAGTTGTAAGTCTGTCTTTAAGATATGGAATGTCAATTTAATCTTCCAAGTTTGATTCTCATCAGGAATAAAATAATGTTTGATTAGTTGAAGATATGTCTCAAAATGTTGATTGACTTCGGTTGTGAGGTTTCATCAAATCTATAGAAAATAAAATAAAATAAAATAAAAAAGACGAAAGAAAGAGAGAGTCTAAGTAAACAATGATCAAGACATAGAAATTTTGTACTACGGAGAATAACCTTCATTGTCTCCACAACCAATTATCCCAGTAGATGACAAGTTGAGACTCTTCAAATCTTTGAAGACAATAAAATCCGAATAGTTTAGAAAGGCATTAACATTATTCCTGAGGTCTTGATAAAGATTGAGTTTGGTGACTCTCCCTGTGGAGGAGTTACACTCAACTCCTTCCCATTGACAACAGTCTGGGCCGTCCCAGTGCCAAGACAAAGGGAGGCCGAAACGGTAATTTAGGGCCAAAAGAGCTTTTCTCTCTTCCTTCCAACACCCTTCACAACACACCACTTGCAATAAAACAAAAATCAACAAACACACCCCAACACTCTTCATATCGTACTCTGCAGTAACAGAATGGATCTGGTCTCGTTTAAATAAGAAAGCACCAACTAGATTGTGCCCTACCTAGCCATATTGCGTATTACCCAAGTCGTTTAAACGTGTTTGACGTACGCGCTTTATTTTCAACTTATTGATTGCTTTTTCCAATATTATGTACCAATTGCGTGAAGTGTTCCCATTATAATTTGGAAAATTATACGGTGGTCACTATAATTGTGGGGTACAGCCGTTTAATTTTATTTTATTTTTTATAATTACTTGTGTTTATTTTTATTTTAATTTAATATTTTTAATAATTTATTCTTATAAAAAAATTTATTTTTATATTTTTAAAATTTTATTTTAATATAGCATCTATTATAATTAAATAGTTTAATATTAATATTTTGTTAATACATTTTAGTTTTTCTTTGGTGTTAATTTTTTAATTTATAATGTAAATTAGTTTTTCAATTATATTATTTATTATTTTTCTTTCTTATTTTAATATTTTTATAATATTATTAATGTGATTATTATAATTTTTATTTTTAATTTTTTAATTATATTACATATAAATAAAATTTGTTATAAAAATTGATTTTTTGATTATTTCTTTTTGAATTAATATTTTTGATTAATTCATTTTTTACAAATTTTTAATTTAAATTTATGTTATTTTAAATTTATTTTTTTAAAATTTATTTATTTATATAATTTGAGTTATCAAAACTTTTCAATTATGGATATAATTGCAGTTCCCTTATAATTAACGATGACTTGCTTCAGAATATCTTTTCTATGCCCCAACCTCCACGCTTCATATCAGCTATTAAATATATTTTTCCATATTATTATTTAATTTCATTCTACCTTGCATGAACCGGTCACCTGCAAGTAGCTAGGGATGCAATATCAATAGAACGACACGGATGTGGGTAGTAAATCGCGCTATCCTCTCCTTTTAATACGGATTTCAATTTATCTAATAATTATGAATATATATATATATATATATATATATATATATATTAATTTATTTTAATAACTTTATATTAAATTTAAATTTTATAAATCTAACAGTTAGATTTAAAATTTTGGCTAAAACCCTATTTTAGTCCCTTATAATTTTTTTTTGTTTCAATTTAGTCCTTCATTAATTTTTGGTCTCAATTTGGTCCCAAACTAATTAATTGGTTTCAATTTAGTCCTAAATTAATTAATTGATTTCAATGTGGGACTTTTCATCCAAATTGCTTTAACGATGTTAACTTTTGGCCACGTGGACGCCACATAGATGCATACGTGACATCCACGTGGATGAGAATTTTTTTGAAAACACCTAGACCCAGAACGGCCCGTTCTGAAACCGGAACGCGCCGGGTGCACTTTTGGTGTGTTAACTTTGCATCCGGAACGGCCCGTTTCAAGTGCAAAATTAACACTGAGTGTTGATTTGAAGGTACATCCTTGGCCGAGTTGGTTACTCGAGAGGGAAACCTTGGTGAGATTTGAAGGTACATCCTTGGCCGAGTTGGTTACTCGGGAGGGAAACCTTGGTTGGGATTTGAAGGTACATCCTTGGCCGAGTTGCTTACTCGGGAGGGAAACCTTGAGTAAGATTTGAAGGTACATCCTTGGCCGAGTTGGTTACTCGAGAGGGAAACCTTTTTCGAGTACACCTTTAAGTAACGAATGATAAGACTGAGCTGGAACTTTCATTTCATTGATATGTGCCTCGTTAAAAACCTTGTCGGCCAAAACCTCTTTTCACTTTTTTCTAAGAGGAGAAAAGACCGATCAAGGAAAAGAGTGCACTCTGTATGTATACATGGATCACTATCTTTACACAAAAAATTGCTAACTAAAATAAGCCTTCAAGTGAGTTGAGTTCCACGTTCTTGGGATGATCTTTCCCGAAAGCTCCTCAAGCTTGTAGGCACCATTATCTAGAGAGTGACGGATTCTGAATGGGCCGTCCCAGTTAGCTGCCAATTTTCCTTCGCGGGGGTTGCGCCTTGCCGATCCTTGTACACGCCATACTAGGTCACCCTCCTTGAAACATCGCTTCGAAAGGGTGGAGTTGAAGCGCCGGGTCATTCTTTGCTTGCATGCTTCCGCCATTATACGCGCCTTGTCTCGGATCTCGTCTATGACATCAACTTCAACCCGAAGAGATGCATCGTTGCCTGCTTCGTCAAAATGTAAACGGCGGAAGGAAGGTTCCCCTACTTCCACCGGAATCATGGCCTCAGTACCGTATGTCAATCGGAACGGTGTTTCCTTTGTTGTGGATTGAGGTGTACATCTATAAGCCCACAAAACTTCTACTAGTTCTTCGGCCCAGGCGCCCTTGGAATCTCTCAAGCGCTTTTTCAACTCTGTTAAGATGACTTTATTTGCCGCCTCGGCTTGTCCGTTCGATTGAGGATGTTCAACCGATGTGAATCGGTGCCGTATGCCTAAGTCTTGGATGAACTTGTTCAACTTTTGATCTGTGAATTGGAGACCATTGTCGGTTACAATGGCATATGGTATACCGAAGCGCGTGACAATGTTCTTCCACAAAAACTTCTGCACCATACCAGCTGTGATCGTTGCTAACGGCTCGGCCTCAATCCACTTTGTGAAGTAATCAATTGCGACCAACAAAAATTTGCATTGGCCTTTGGCAAGGGGGAACGGACCGAGGATGTCCATCCCCCATAGTGCAAAGGGCCAAGGAGAGCTAATGCTGTGTAACTCTTCAGCCGAGGCGTGAATAATATTCCCATGGCGTTGGCATTGCATGCATCGCTTAACAAATT